TACCACGAGTACCGTGCCCGAGCCTGGCGCCAGCTCCAGCACTGCGCCTTGGGCATTGTTCATAAAGTTTGTCGGGTAACGGAGATGCCCGAAAACCCCCTCGAAGACTTCCGACTCACTCAAAAAGTTGCCAAAGCGTTCAAAGCAACTAGCCGGGCGAACGTTGTGATGTGGGTAACTGGGTCTTCCATTTCAACCTCGGCGCAAGGTTATTTATCACCGTTCATGCAATATTCATCCATTTTGTCGTAGTTGCTGGGTTTGCAATGTCTACCATTTTGGATTGGTACCCACTGGGCAGTACAATAAGTCTTTAAATCAGCAGCAGAGCCCTACACAATTGAATTCAGTCCAATACTATTTGACAAGGAATATGCAGAAGTATTCATGAATTATGGAAGCTAATCTTAAATGGCGAAGCAGCCGCGTTTTATATCAGTGACAATTATTTGAGTCAAAACAAAGTAGATTCCAAAATGATCAAGTTACTGAAAAAGAACAATGTTGCTGATGAGTTCAAAGTTGGACAACAAAATCAAAAACAAGTTGAAGTTCTCTAACCCAAACGAATGCGAGAAGCACGATTGTAGTCCATCGCAGCTCTTTCTTGCCGATTCAGCCGGTATCTTCGCTGCGTCTCCGCACGTTTCCGCTACCTTTCGTTTGACGTTCGTTCGTACCGCGCTAAGACTTGCCCATAAAACGTCGCGTCTTCATAACGCAGAGGCATGAGCGAAACATGAAAATTCGTCAACGCAAACGCAGCTTATCAGTTGCCGTCTCGTATACACATTCTAACATGCATGAAAGATTACATGGTATCATATTCACGAGATCGCCATGCCATGAAGCGGCTCAAATGATGTCGAGACTCCGCTATATCTTAGTATGCCTTTTGAATCGTAAAGAATACCAACGAACAATCATTTACTCAGTGACAAACTGTTTGAATGAGTCTAATAAATTTTGAGAGTACATCTAGTCAGACATCTTGTCGTTGATCAGTTCATGGGTCTCTCACCAAGTGATCAGTTCTGTTGTTATTCCTATGGTGTATATCTAATTCACCTTTGTCACTACTCATAACTGCACTTGTAATCCCAAGATTTAATGCATACCAAAGCAAAAACGTATGTGGAGGAATCAGTAGCGAACGGAATAGCCACTGCTCATTGGACATGCTGGCCAGTAAGATCGACTTCTCCATCAATGCTAACAAATTGCTAGGTGCCACTCCCTTCCCCATTGCACTCCATCAAGAGGGGCGAACATTTTACCAAGACCAAATTCTCTTGCAAGTACGGCCTCCACATACCAGAACAATTTCAAGAAAACGAGCCTGAAAACAC